ACTTTTGTGGCGTGTTTTCAAGGAAAGGTCACCAACCTTCCCCCCGCATGGAGTTGGTACGGCCCGAGGCCCGCCCCTCCCCCACCTCCGCCCCTTCCCGTCCCTCCCCCACTGGGTGCCCGCCGCTGCGCCGCCTGCCTCTCCTCTTCCCGCAGTGCTGGGCTGCACCGAGGTCAGCAGGCGTCCCCCAGGGAACACTTTCCTTCCCGCTCTGAGGCCTGGTGGGCAGTCCCCAGAGAAGGCAGAGCTTAGCTGCTGGTTAACGCCGCCCAGGGAGCGTGTTAGCGGAAGGTGTAGGGCCAGTTCCCGCTAACCCGTATTCAGCCGCCTTGTGTCATGCCCCTGCTGACCTTGCTTTGCAAGTAAAAGGACCTTGGGATCTCCTCCAGTCCACAGCCAGCTCAGGAGCCAGGCCGACTTTATCCCCACTGACTGCCTAGTAATAGTGCTATCCAACACCTCGGTGTGCTGTGCCCGGAACTGCACCGCAGGATTTAAATACATTTATCTTTATTTTACACTTAGGGTTGGTATTGTTGACTCCAGGTGACAACGAAATCTCTTGTTGTAGTGAGCAGGACTGAAGTCGTGTCGGGACCTGAAACTAAATGGGCTTTAGGAAAAAAAAGAGGTTTTTTGTTAGCATGCTTTTCTCTGAGTTCCCTCTTTTCCTGTGGTTATTTGATATTTTGAACCTTGGTTATGGGGCAAGATAACATTATGTAAGTGTAAAGTTATTTCCCAGTCAGCGCGGAGCTGCAAACTTGCCACAAGACACGTAATGTCCAGACCCTGAGAAACCAAGGAAGACATCAATAAAGGCTATGTTGATTCCACTATGAAGCAAATCAAAACCCAGCAGGACCCTGAGATAACATCAGGGATGAAACGGAAGCCAAAAGGAGCCTTGGCGAGAATTTGCACCTGGCTCCTTACATGCCCCCTCCCTCCTACTTTTCATTTCCCATGTTCCATTCCCTCAATCGACTCTTTGGAAGTCCCTCAGTAACCCTGAGTCTTTCAGATGGCTTTAGCCTGGCCACTCTCCTTCAGGTTTACCGGAGAGACGGGTCAGCCTAACATCTCTCCTCAGGTCACTGGTGTTCCTGAATAAAAGCTGACTTTCTATTCCACCAACATTTGACTTTTAAGTGGTTTGTTTTCTGTTGGGAGGCAGGCAGCCAGACTTGGGTCTGTTTTAACAAGATTTTGGTGAGCCTAAATAAGGAGCTGAATACCCTGAGGTAACAAGATTTGGGCAAGCCAAGCCAGGGGCTGAATGCCCTGGGTTCTGTAACAGATTTTGGTGAGCCAAGCCAGGGTTTTTGTACAGGGTGGGCAGCTGAACTTGGGTTTGGTAAGTCTCTTAAATTTGAGGTTAAGCAGTTTGCTATGGTCACACAGTTAATAAGTAAGAGTCAGGATTAAAACCCAAAGTTCATACTTTCCTGACAACTAAGCCCCGCCAGTTAACTGTTATGTGTTTGTTTAAAGTGACTTCCATGAACCAACTGCTCAAAAAATATTAAAGAAAGACCACAGAGGATTCTTTCCTATGCTGTCCTGGAGTCTAACAAGCTATAAGTATCAAATGCTTTCTCAGCAATTAAAAAAACAACAATCCTGAATTGTGTGAATCCTTCCTCTATAGAAGTTAGGAAAGCTTTGCACTGTCATTCGTGAAAGTTGGGCCTTTATTGAATAGAAGAATATGAAAGGAGACAGGTGCTGAGTGAAGGGCTTAAAGTGTTTTCTCCCACCCCTTTACAGTCCTCTCAAGGATGACTCAGGCCTCAGGGAACACAGTGGGAAGCACAACTTCACAGCAGGTAGGGCTGGGGGTGTTTACCCATGTCAAGAGAATGTAACTAAGGGTATGTGTCGGGGGTCAAGGAGGAAATTCAGGTTGGCACCAGGTTATGGATATCCTTAAAACTCAGACAAGAGCATGAGTTTGATGTGGTTGGTAACAGGAAGCTGAGGTGAGGTGCACTGAAAACACTTCTTCAGGCCAGGTAGTCAGGTGCTGAGAATCAGGAGGAACAGGCTAGTTAGGGAGATGTTGCATTAATCCCAACATGATGTTTTAGGGCAGTAGCTATGGGAACTGGGAGAAAGGGCATTTTGAAGGATGAAAGAACAGGATTCAGTGATGCATCAGTCACAGCAATGAAAGGGCTTCATCTAGTGAGAACAAAATGTCACTATAGGGAGACAGCCGAGTCAGGCTGCTTTGATGTACTCGCTTGCACAGATAATGATACTTTGAGACTTAAAGTGACCCCTAGGATATGACCCTCTGAACAAGCAATAAATGTTGGGGGGCGAAGTGACAGCAACAAATAGAAGCATCTCTAACATCATATCTGTCACTAGCTACATCCTTCCAGAAGACCCAGCTGTGAGAGTATCCAGGATTGAGACCAAGTTTGTAGAGGTATGGGAGGTAAGGAGAAGTTTATTACCTTCTTTGTCTACCACACCCAAGAAACAGGCTTCTTTTTCTTTTTTAGGTGGCCATTGTAATGCGTACTCGATTCAAATGGCCCAGGAGTTAGATTACAGTTGACTGGTGTCTATACCAGATTCCTTCAGCCAGCTTAGGATGTTCTCTGCAACACAAGGGCACCATGAATACGGATTTCCCTTGTATAAACTTCCCGAGGCTATATTCACCACAGCCAGCCTGAGACCCATCACAGTCTAGACCTACATACTGGTTGGAGGAGTCAACCACTGGGGGTTGAGATGAAACCATTTTGAGCTTATTATTGATTGCATTCATATTCCAGTAACAGAGATCCAGCCACAGTGTCTTAAACACAGAAGAGTGTATTCCCTCATGTAAAAAAGACCTGAGGTAGGCAGTTCTGGTCTGGGATGACAGTTTTAGGAAGTCCTCAAGGATGCAGGCTCCCCTTCTCAAAGCTGCCTCAGGGCCATGTTAGCTTCTAAAGCACCAGCCATTTCATCTCCTTTCCAAGAAGGGGAAAGGACAAAAAGTCAGGCTCCAGCTGTCTCCTTTTTAAGGATCCTTTGTGGTAGATTCACCCAACAAATTTTGCTTACAGCTCTGCAGTCAAATTTTGGGTACAAGGCTACACCTAGCCACAAAGGAGGCTGGGAAAGGTAGTCATTTAACTGTACACATTTTCAGTCTGAAAAAACTTGGAATTCTGTGACTAAAGGGAAAACGAGTAGTGGATTGGAAAATAGCAGTCTTTGTTACATATCGTTCTATAAGACATTATCTCCACGTACTAGGGTGCAAACTCTGATCATTAATAGAATGATCTTAGCTACAACCTTTTTATTGTTGTTGTTGTTATTTGTTGTTTGTTTTCTTTTCTTTGTTTTTCTGTTACAAATCCAGGCAGAAATCTAAGTGAAAATTGTTCATACCAACCTGCCTTTTGCATGTGTGGGATTGTTGAAAGGACTAAGAGTAATACCTAAATTGCTAAAATGAAATGATCTAGGCTAAAAAAGAAAGTGATAATACAGATAAAATTTTAACAATGGTTTCAAAGTGAGCTTTATTTCTTCCCCCACTTCAGGAAAAATTACAATTAGATTGCATCCTCAAAGAACATGTTGACTATTGGAAAGGAAAGGAGGAGCTTGGCTCAAAAGCATTTTGTTGCATGAAAGGGATAAAACAGGCGGGTGTGGTGGGTAATCATGAGCTGATGGTATCCGTAAAGGGAAAAGGGAACCAGCGCTGTTGAGCAGATCCTCAGTATTGCTAGGTACTAAGTCAAATGCTTTATTTCTGCTTTGCACAAAGGAAGTGTCTTGAACAAGGTCACATGCAGAGATAGGAGGAATGGAAGGGGAATTTCAGTGTGTTGTTCTCTCTGTTAAAGCTGACATAACTTTGTACCTTCAAGCAGCTTCCACACCCTCTACCATATTCCTCACATCCAATAAGTTTAGCTCACTTCTGTCTTGTTTGTGTGTAGCCCGTTTGAAACTTTCCTCCTTCTTCTGCCCTAATGCAAATTCCCAACTTAGTCCTGTCTTCTCAACTCCTGATTGACCTCTTGTCTCATCTCTTGCATATGAATCAGATCATCATTCTTGGATCTGACCATTGATTCTGCTCCTCTGTCCTGACCTTGGGCCATCTGTCCCTTAGATCACAC